CTGTTTTACATTTTGTTGATACGCGGTTTTGTACTTTAAACGACGATATAGAGACCTTGCAGCATTCTTTGGTATTCCCCTGTCGATTAAATATTTAATGTGTATTATTTTTTTATGAAAAATTCACAGGAATGGACAAAGTTTCATCAAAATGTTGAGTTTTTTAATGCGCGGTTTTTGTAAGCTTAATATCTATACTCTGTTGTAGTCACACAAATGGAGTGGCCTATAATTTGACACCGCCACGAATATCATGGGACTTTCTTATAGGGTTTTTTCCTGTCATGTATATATCGAGCCCTAACCGCCAAAATAACGTAAGCGACATTTTTTTCGAAATTTTATTTTTGATGCAGAAATGCATCTAGATGCTCTAGGAATATTTCTGCATCAAAAATAAAATTTTGAAAAAAATGTCGCTTACGTTATTTTGGCGGTTAGGGCTCGATATGTATGTACATACAACTTATGTAGGTATACACTTGCAGGTTTGTCACTGTCCGACCCGGTGTGACCGTCATTATAAAAAGCTTCTTCTATCATTTGGATGCTCGAATCTTTCGGCTATCTGTGCGCTCCTCTAACCTCTAGAAGTGAAGAAAAAGCTCGAATACATTGCAAAAGATATAATTATATTAAAAAATGCATAGACATAAATGTCGGCCTTTGCACAAATTTTGCAAGATTTTCATATATTTTCACTCAATTATAATCCATTAAATGAAGCTTTTAATATCAGCGGGGTTTGGATAGCAGCTGTTTTTCAGTATCCTTCATAGCCATATTAAAATTTTTCACCCATCGGTTTTATGGTGATGTTGTGAACCTTGTAAAATATAAATAGGAAAAAGTATAAAAGTACGAAGCTTTTAAATATGTAGGTATAGTGCATATCGACACCTACAAGTTTTGACTATCTACACTGAGGGAAAAAATTGTAAAATCAAATAAGTAAAATATTAAATTCAAGTACGCACATATTAAAATAAAGCAAAACGCCATGCGTAAAGTGCCGATGGCGTTTTGCACTTCGAACAAAAAAAATAAAAATTATATTTCGAACCCTGACCCTCTGGAAATCAACAAATTGTGGCAAGCATCTTTGCGCACTCAGCTACAGCCAGACATGTACATAAATGTGCTTTCAAATGTTGAATTTGCACAGATAAACCATGTACTACATATGTATGTATGTACATATGGATGTGTTGTCAGCGCTCTGTATGCTTGGTATACATAGCCTGCGGGAAATGCATGCATCTAACTATAAGTAAAATCGAAGTTGATTAGCCAGCAACTAAAGGTCACTATTATCTGTATATTTTCTTTGAGGAAACTTAACTATATTTCAATGGCGATGACTGCGAAATAGTCAAGGGTGGTTACCTATGCATTAGATGTCAACTAAATTGTAACTAACTACTTTTGGACATTAAATATCAATAAGAAAAATAAAATATTTTTGGTTTTTTTTTACTTTTTCATTTATTTACTTAATTTTATTATCCCTGCAGTGAAAAATTATCAATTGTAGAAAATAACCGACTTATAGTTGGCTGGCTTTTTGGCCAGATTTCGATAAATGCCTCACTTTTAATTAGCTATGACAAAACCAACTTAAAGTGATTTGTAAAGTCGTCCAGGAATCATGTAGACACAATCCGGAGTTGGTTTTCTTTACAAATTTCCAGTTAAAAATCCTCATACAAAAACTATTTTGAATACATTTTTTTTCTGCACTTCACAAACTTTTTCTAATTCAGGACCAACAAAATGAACACAATGAATTATCATTTTGATGTTTTGTCTGACGGAATTTGCGGCCATCGCCCCACAAAAGTAGTTAGCTTTTTTCGAACAAAATATACAGTAAACAGACTAAGGTTAGATATAAGCTAACGTCACTCCCTGCAGGGATATTACATATTTGTATATTTATTCTGCTTTAGGTGTCCCCATATTCGAACTTTAAAATGATAACATAAAATTTCGACCTTCCTTTTATTTGTTCTCAATTCGTAAAAGTATTTGTGAAGTGCAGAAAGAAAGTGCATTTAAAGTAAAATTTGTATGAGGATATCTTGTTTGAAAAAACATTCTCCCGACTACGTCTGTATTACTTGTCAACTAGTTTCAAGTTATCTTTTTGAAGAAATAACTAAAAGTGCGTTATTTTTTATCAATTGATAATTTTTTTCTGTAGGGTATGTACACTTACATATGCATACATACTCGATGTGGACATTCAAATACGTGCGTGCTTAATTTTGGTATGAAAGTATTATTTTTAAATACGAACATTTTTAAACGATAATTAAATATAAAGTTTTAATTTTTACTATGCATTATTTCCCTCAGTGTATTTTTTATTATTTCATTTTGCGGATCCTGGTAGAAGACGCATCCAGTAAAAATGTTTCTTCGGGAAGATTTTTGTTCAAGGCAATGAGCCCCAAGAAAGGGGCGTGGCAGTTATAGGACTAAAGATAACAAAACACAGATCGTTAACAACATTGATTCCGCAACTTTTTTTTAATCGAAGATATTTAAGACCAAAGGTAACTCGCTTTGATTTTTATTCATTTCTTCGACGCTAATGTCCTGATTTTTTTTTTAAATTTGTACTGATTTGTATTGAATTTTCAATTATGAGAATACAAATTATACAAAATAAATAAATAAACCCTTACTAGCCTGGCTCTGAATAAAAAACTTTGAAACTTGGTTTTATAAGGTTTGTTGTTTATAAGAAGAACCACAATAAAAAAATAACTAAAATCAAAAAACAAATAGTCAAAACGTGTAAATATTAAGATGTCGTATAGTTTTGATAAGCACTATATATGTATGTATATACCTGCACATTGGATGGGGTGCTTATAGCCCATAAAACAGCATCAGCTACATCTTCCGATTTAAGGCTAGGCAGCATCTCTTTAACTACACTACGAATAGGCGATGGCAGAATATCTGTATCCACTATGCCCGGACTGATTGTCTGAAATAAAAAAAAAACCTAAAATTTTTGATGTTTCCCAAGGGTTTATTTAAGGCGGACCTCCAAAGCATGCGTATCCGCATGCGTGAGTTTTACATTTACATCCATAAAACCAGGGAATGAAACCGAAACCCGAACCGAAACCGTAACCGTTTAAAACCGTTTCGTTTTTCAAAACCGAAACCGAAACCGTAACC